TAGACTTTAACAAAACAGTCGACTACTACTGATTACATGTATGACCAACCATTCTTGCGAGATGGGGACGTTTAGTATCACCGCGACCTTTTCCACTCTTGCGTTCATGATATCCTCATAATGGACCCAGAGTCTGCCAGTGTAGACTACTTATCACATGCCTCTGTATGACTGCGTGATGGGGATTTTGAGAACCACGTAGCTAACTTTTTGACACACTGTACTCTCCTTCATATAGTCTAGGGTAGCTGTACAAATACAGATGTGCTTAAATGTATTAAAAAAAAAGTCTACTCTGACGGCCCAGTGCAATCGTCCTCCGGACGGACTGCAGCAGCATGTAAGTTTTATACAAACAATAGTTGCACACATACTATCAGTGTCAGGTTATACACCTGGCTGACCTGTACACAAACAGAACTAGCTGCACTAAAACTAGCTACCAGTACATAAAAAAATACAGGACGGGGCATATTATTTTGTGATTCAAAGTCTGCTCAAAAGCAATTGAAAACTTTTCCTGATAGATCGATAGTAAGAACCTCATAATAGCAATTATGAATGGCCTAATCGCTGCACAGAATAAATGATTTAGAATATATTTTTTTTGTGTAGATACTATCTCACATAAATATTACCCATCATAATGATACGTTGCAGTCAAATTAGCGTTAAACAAGAATGAAGATGAATTAGACCTACGTAGTCCCATCCCTGTTCTCAAAAATATACTGGTCCAAACACTTAGGTCTAAAAGGAGAGAAATTAGTGACTCTCATAGGCCTGAAAGCAACAGTATAATAAAGTCATGATTTGTTTAGATCCGAAACCTACGCTTAAAAGGCAGCACAAACCGTGGACCAGACTGTGCGACACAGTGGTTGCCAGGATCAGGTTGGGTTACTGTTACCTGTGGCAGGTGGCTACAGGTGACGGATCTCCCAGTCCTGAGCACTCCAGATGCAAACTCTGTGAGCAGGAACTGCGGCACGATCTCCCACACTACATCACCGAATGCCCAGTTATTAGACCATTCAGACCCCACGGCATGAGATACCTGGAGCTTTTCAATTATTTAATTAACTCTCGTATTCTTGAAAATATAATGCACCCAAAATTTGCCAGTCTGATCACATGCCTCTGTATGACTAACCATACTGTGTGATGGGGATTTTTAGCATCACGTAGCTAGTTCTTGTCTCACTCTGTACTACAAATGCAAACATACCTAATTAAATTAATAAAAAAATAGATTTCATTAAGAAAACCCGGAATTTCAACTTTCGGCACAAGACAGTTATTTTTACAAGCATAGCCGGTTTTGAGTCCACAACAGCCAATGTGGTTCTTGACGACTGTGAACAGTGCCACACACCTCGCTACAGTACTACAGTGCCACAGTGCCACACCCAAGCTCCAACTAAGAGAGCAGCTTTAATTCTCCTAAGACCTGGCGGCAAAGGTGCATGTCAACAGAATAATATAGGTGGCCTGAGCAGAACTGACAAATATTCGAGTAGTCTTCAGTAACCTTGATGAAGAAGCCTTTAAACTATTGTATTCTACCGACGTGAGACTCGCACTCGAGTCTGCAGCCCGACAGGGACACCCCCCACTTGAAGGAACAAAATTACAACTAAAGTGAACAGATATGCAGCAAAGCTGGTCCAGGAATGTACTTCAGTGTAAGTCCCTTAGAACTGAGCCTGTTTACACTGGAGAACCCAAGGAGTTAGGGAGACATGATAGAAACATACAAGATTCTAAAAATAGTTGGTAGTCAGTAACGGTTGATTGACAGTTGAGAGGCGGGCCGAAAGAGCAAAGCTCAACCCCTGCAAACACAGCTAGGTGAGTACAGGTAGTCTACGACCTCCCCCCCCCCACACACGTTGTCTACGATTCCCCTATCCTATCATTTTTCTCCCTCTCTTCCTCTTCCTTTCCCTTCTTCTCGTATGCTGATCTCTCCCTCTTCCTACCTTTCCCTCTCTCCCTTTCTCTTCCACACTCTCTCTCCCAGCCTCTCCCTCCGTGACGAGGTAAGGAGTGTCTCAGGCGTGCCAGCCCCCGCACGATAACGGCTGCCTCTGGATATCACAGCTACTGAGGCAGCTCCAACTGTAATACGCAAGCAATTCTTTGCTGTAACAAAGACCAAAAAAAGAAAAGCGCGCGAAAACACACACACACACAACCATTAACCTTAAGTAACGATCGGAGCGCCTAACAGGCGTCGTTAGTGGACATGTAAATCCTTGAGGAATCCCAAAGACATTTGTACATCTACGAACTCCTCCTCTTCCTCTAACATGGTCCTCTTAAGTGCCAGGGTGCAAACAGCACTTGTGTGTGTGTCCAGTTAGGTGATGTGTACCTCTTACCCCTGATCGCTTAGTCTGCGTTCACTAAGCAGTTTACGAGCTCGGAAGCGCTAGGAGGTCGCCCATGACAATACGAACTCCTACGACTTCGTATTGGGGCGCGGACAGCCTCCTAGGACCCACACAGACCGTAAATTGTTTAGTAAATACAGCTTCTTAGCCGCGGCGATCGAGGTAAGATATACAGAGGGCTAGATTCACGAAGCAGTTACGCAAGCACTTACGAACCCATATATCTTTTCTCCATCTTTGGCGACTTTGTTTACAATTATTAAACAGTTAATGAGCTCCGAAGCACCAGGAGGCTGTTTATAACAATAACAACAATTGATTGGGAAGTTTTCATGCTTGTAAACTGTTTAATAAATGTAACCAAAGCCGTCAAAGATTGAGGAAAGATGTACACGTTCGTAAGTACTTGCGTAACTGCTTCGTGAATCTGGCCCCAGATCTCTTAAGTGGATGTGGGTAATAGCCCTGAGGTAGGTGCTGCTGTTGGCACTCTCGCCACGTCGTAAGGTGCACGACCGACACTTGAGTACTGCCCTAAGTGCTCGGTTTTCTCACTCGAGTGTTTTGAGAATCAGACGGAGCCCTGCGTACCCAAGGAGGTGGAGGCCGAGCTTAATACTAAGCAAGAGGTGAAGGGAGGGGAGGTTATCTTGAGGTTATCTTGAGATGATTTCGGGGCTTTTAGTGTCCCCGCGGCCCGGTCCTCGACCAGGCCTCCACCCCCAGGAAGCAGCCCGTGACAGCTGACTAACACCCAGGTACCTATTTTACTGCTAGGTAACAGGGGCATAGGGTGAAAGAAACTCTGCCCATTGTTTCTCGCCGGCGCCCAGGATCGAACCCGGGACCACAAGATCACAAGTCCAGTGTGCTGTCCGCTCGGCCGACCGGCTCCCCGGGGAACCGGGGAAGGGGGAGGGGAAGGGGCAAAGGGTGCACCAGTTCTGAGAAAGAGGTCAAACCCGTCCATCCAGGGGGATACGACCCGTTCATGTTGAGAACGGGTACAAAACACGTTATGTTAAAACTTTTCTTCAGGAACAATAGGGAGAAAAACGCCTTACTGCGACTATTACGGTAAAAGCGTAGAGTTGCTTCTGGCGGAGGGTGGGGGGGGGGCTGTAGGGGGTGAGGGGGTAGGTAGGGTTAGAGGCGGGGAGGATAGGAGGATAGGAGGAGGATAGAAGGATAGGAGGAAGAGAAGGAACACATCTGAGGTCTTCCATTCTCCTGCAGCCTCCTGTCCTCCAACAGCCCCCCCCCCCCTGGGATCCTCATGGAGGCATGTCGACCTCAACTATGTGGAGGAATCAGTTGCCTCACTGGGGAAGAGGCAGTATACATATATAAGCAGAGGCGCCTGACAGCTGGGGTGGACAGCGCTTCAGATTCGTAGTCCTGAGGTTCCGGGTTCGATCCCCGGTGGAGGCGGAGACAAATGGGGCAAAATGTTTTTTTTTTTTTCATCCTGATGCTGCTGTTACCTAGCAGTAAATAGGTACCTGGGAGTTAGACAGCTGCTACGGGCTGCTTCCTGGGGGGGGGGGGTGAGTAACAAAAAGGTGGCCTGGTAGCCCACCAGCATAGTGCTAATGGGCGCACTTACCATTGTGCAACATTGTTACCATTGTGCAACCCACCCAAAAGATATCTCTATATGCAACCTTGACCCTTTGAGAAATAAGAGGTCTAATGGGCACGCTAAGAGGCACACAAATGGTATGACCCTGAAGGGACCGGGACGTCTCAGCGCCCCTCCCATTAAACATGAGGTGACATCATTACCTAAACTGTCTCGGTGTTCAAATGGGAGCTTTTTGCAAACCTCCATAAGTTACCTGATCAATAGGGGTTGTAATTCATGCGTTAGATTGCGACCAGCGGCGTCAAACAGCCTGGTTGCTCTGACCACCACCCAGAAGCCCTGATTAGAGACCGGGACGTGGGGACATTGATCCTAGGAACCACTTCAAATTACCTTATATGCCTCAAACTGTAATGTAAAAAAATTGAATGATTCTATCTCTCTCTATCTCTCTCTCTCTCTCTCTCTCTCTCTCTCTCTCTCTCTCTCTCTCTCTCTCTCTCTCTCTCTCTCTCTCTCTCTCTCTCTCTCTCTCTCCAACGTGGTACCTTTAGCGTGGCACTGTAACCTTGCCCACTATCAAGAGGGTCGAGGTTCGTGCTGTATCTGCCTCGTGTAGGATACAAGTGCTACAAAGAATACAGTAGTCGTGAACCCTCACTACACAGCATCATATTCCAGGAAGAAGAGTTGCCACTGTGGCAGGATCCAACAAGGTTATAGACTCGTGCAATGGCTACAGGGTATGTGACGATTGCAAGTTGATCAATAGTTACAGGGTCGTGCAATACATACAGGGTGTTGTAATGAGTCCAGAGGGGGATATAATGAGTTGAAAGACTGTATAATGAGTACAGAATGGGCCGATAGGTATACAGGTTTGTGTATTGAGCAGAATGCTGTATAAAATGTCTACTGCGAGGAAGGGGGGGGGGGTGGAGGTCCAGTACCACCTTCTACTCCTCCGACCAATAATGTATTGCAAATGGGGTGGGCAGCCTTAACGGGGGTGGGCAGCCTTAACGGGGGTGGGCAGCCATAACGGGGGTGGGCAGCCATAACGGGGGTGGGCAGCCATAACGGGGGTGGGCAGCCATAACGGGGGTGGGCAGCCATAACGGGGGTGGGCAGCCATAGCGGGGGTGGGCAGCCATAACGGGGGTGGGCAGCCATAACGGGGGTGGGCAGCCATAACGGGGGTGGGCAGCCATAACGGGGGTGGGCAGCCATAACGGGGGTGGGCAGCCATAGCGGGGGTGGGCAGCCATAACGGGGGTGGGCAGCCATAGCGGGGGTGGGCAGCCATAGCGGGGGTGGGCAGCCATAACGGGGGTGGGCAGCCATAACGGGGGTGGGCAGCCATAACGGGGGTGGGCAGCCATAACGGGGGTGGGCAGCCATAACGGGGGTGGGCAGCCATAACGGGGGTGGGCAGCCATAACGGGGGGTGGGCAGCCATAACGGGGGTGGGCAGCCATAACGAGGGTGGGCAGCCATAACGGGGGTGGGCAGCCATAGCGGGGGTGGGCAGCCATAGCGGGGGTGGGCAGCCATAACGGGGGTGGGCAGCCATAACGGGGGTGGGCAGCCATAACGGGGGTGGGCAGCCATAACGGGGGTGGGCAGCCATAACAGGGGTGGGCAGCCATAACGGGGGTGGGCAGCCATAACGGGGGGTGGGCAGCCATAACGGGGGTGGGCAGCCATAACGGGGTGGGCAGCCATAACGGGGGTGGGCAGCCATAACGGGGGTGGGCAGCCATAACGGGGGTGGGCAGCCATAACAGGGGTGGGCAGCCATAACAGGGGTTGGCAGCCATAACATGGATTCACAGGAGTTGCATCACCCACCAACCCGTCCTTCTAAGGTTCCCAATCCTAACCTACCAGAGAACCCAAAACAGAAAACGGAACAGTACATCACCTTTTTCTCGAGCCGCTTCCAGTTTTTAGTACGACAATTTTTGACCTTAGGTAACGCATACGAACGAAAACGTTCGTATGCGTTACCAAGCAACGTTCTTTGTCGCTTTTCAAGAATAATCACCAATAAACATTAGACATATTGCATGATTCGTAATTTTCACGCTTTCAAGCCAAACATATTGAAGGAAATCGCCCCTTTTCAGTTGTAAAGATACTTTGACATTTATGAAACTCGTAGGGGGAATCTTGTCGTGAATTCACCTTGACGATAAGGTGGGGGTGGTGCGGGGGGGGGGGGGGAGATGTCCGAGGAAGTGGCCATTTAAGTAACCATTGTTGCACAACAGGCTCAGGCAACGCTCGATTTTGGCCTTATATATATATATATATATATATATATATATATATATATATATATATATATATATATATATATATATATATATATATTGTGACGATAATCTCTTTCAAGAGAGATTGAGCCTGCTCTTTCCTACATCATTACGTCAAAGTACAAGATACTATATAGAAGATACGTCCACCAGTATCGCCAAAACGTTTTGCCCAGAGAGCAAATCATACCCAGCACACTCCAACACCTGGCCAGCCCGTAACCAGCAAACTGCTCATCCTCTACCTGCCTGTTGCTGATTGGCTGGTGTCTCGTCGCACCTGCCCTCCGCCACCACCACAAGTCGACGTCTGGGCTGCAGCACGCCAGTCTCGTCAGAATATCTTTGTGCTCCATCCAGTTGACATCTCTCGCTGGTAGACTAAGCCTTGGCTTTCGTGTACTAAGGGAGGTGGCAGCTCGAAGCCAGTATTCCAGCACCCATTATTTTATTTTGCTATCACTGTAACTTACTTGTCTTAGCGTAACTTTTCATTTGTCAGTGATTATTCATGTTGTTTTGTTTGTTGACTTGTCCTACATTTTATAAGATTGCCTTTATTCATGTCTTGTTTTCTAGAGTAATTAAAATTTCATTGTTTATATACTTGTGTTTTGTGTGTCTTCCCATTACCTTACCACAGACGAAAGGACAAACTTTTCTCTCTTTTTTTTTTGTGATGTGACGAGGCCCTGTCCCCCAGCTTTTGAAACAGCCGAACACCAACGCTTTACCGTCACAATATATATTGTCACCAGCATTACTGTAAGAAAAAAATCTGCAATTGGTTTACAAATTGCTTTATTGCGTGGCTTAAATGGATAGAGTGCAGGTGAGGATGGGAGGATGGGGAAGGTGGGGTCCGCGTGAAGGATGAAAGGATGGGGGTGGGGGTGGATAGTGTTAACAGGATGGAGTCTGGTGGTGGTGGTGGTGGAAGGGGAGTTCCAGCATAAGGCTGAGGGCTAGTGGATGGGGCGCTAGAATAGGGCCGTGTGACTGGGTTGGATTGGGGGGATGGGGTGGTGGTTGGGGTAGTGTGTCCACGAGTGTAATGATCCAGTAACCTGTGGTTTAATAAACCAGTAAACCCGCAAGATCAAGTCCAAGAAATAAAGGCTTGTGTGGAGACCCTCCCCCCCAGACCTCCAGACCCCGCCCAACATAACACAACATGGCCGAGCGCGCCCCCTGGCCAACATATAACTCGACACACGGGCCAGGTCGAGCGTCGTGACCACACACACACACACACACACACACACACACACACACACACACACACACACACACACACACACACACACACACACACACACACGTCGTCCTACAACACGCCAGGTTCACAACGACAATATGCACGACATCCAGAAATAAACTTCACCTGAAATTGGATTTTATTCAACAGCTACAACATCCCTTTGGGAGCGGCTGTTGTTGTTGTTTCTGGGGTCAATTTCCTTGGCTTTACCGCAGTAGACGATGAACGCCTCGAGAGCGCTTCCCGCTTCGGCGTTCACTGTACAGTCGCGTTCTCTCATGAACTCGCAGGTGAGAAATATACCTCCAGGTTCCAGGAATGCAGGAAGGGGAGGGGTGGGGTTGAGGGTGAGGGGGGTGTTGAGGGAGAGGGGAAGGGGTTGAGGCAAGGGAGGTTGAAAGGAGAAAGGGGGGGGGGGTTGAGCGGGGTGGGGTTGGAGGCATGGGGGGGGGGGGGGGGTTGAGTGAGGGGTTAAGGGAGGGGTTGAAGTGTGGGGCTGCGAGAGGGGGAGGGGGAGTGAGGAGGACAGGAAGGCAGGTGTCACAATAACAAGTGTGATAAAGAACGTTATAGAGCTTCCTATAACCAGCTCTATTGCCCTCTGAGGGGCGACTCTATTGCCCTCGGAGGGGGCGACTCTATTGCCCTCTGAGGGGCGACTCTATTCGTCTCTGAGGGGCGACTCTATTGCCCTCTGAGGGGGCGACTCTATTGCCCTCTGAGGGGGCGACTCTATTGCCGTCTGAGAGACGACTCTATTGCTCTCTGAGGGGCGACTCTATTGCCCTCTGAGGGGGCGACTGTATTGCCCTCTGAGGGGCGATTCTATTGCCCTCTGAGGGGCGACTCTATTGCCCTCTGAGGGGCGACTCTATTGCCCTCTGAGGGGCGACTCTATTGCCCTCTGAGGGGCGACTCTATTCCCCTCTGAGGGGCGACTCTATTGCCCTCTAAGGGGCGACTCTATTGCCCTCTGAGGGGCGACACTATTGCCCTCTGAGGGGCGACTGTATTGCCCTCTGAGGGGGCGACTCTATTGCCCTCTGAGGGGCGACACTATTGCCCTCTGAGGGGCGACTCTATTCTCCTCTGAGGGGCGACTCTATTGCACTCTAAGGGGCGACTCTATTGCCCTTTGAGGGGCGACTCTATTGCCCTCTGAGGGGCGACACTATTGCCCTCTGAGGGGCGACTGTATTGCCCTCTGAGGGGGCGACACTATTGCCCTCTGAGGGGCGACACTATTGCCCTCTGAGGGGCGACTCTATTCTCCTCTGAGGGGCGACTCTATTGCCCTCTAAGGGGCGACTCTATTGCCCTCTGAGGGGCGACACTATTGCCCTCTGAGGGGCGACTGTATTGCCCTCTGAGGGGGCGACACTATTGCCCTCTGAGGGGCGACACTATTGCCCTCTGAGGGGCGACTCTATTCTCCTCTGAGGGGCGACTCTATTGCCCTCTAAGGGGAGACTCTATTGCCCTTTGAGGGGCGACTCTATTGCCCTCTGAGGGGCGACTCTATTGCCCTCTGAGGGGCGACTCTATTGCCCTCTGAGGGGCGACTCTATTGCCCTCTGAGGGACGACTCTATTGCCCTATGAGGGGCGACTCTATTGCCCTCTGAGGGACGACTCTATTGCCCTCTGAGGGGCGACTCTATTGCCCTCTGAGGGGCGACTCTATTGCCCTCTGAGAGGCGACTCTATTCCCCTCTGAGGGGCGACTCTATTCCCCTCTGAGGGGCGACTCTATTGCAAGAAGCTTGTCTCACCTGGCAGGTACTCACCTAGATGATGACGGTAGTGTAGAAGAAGGGTCTAAGTACTCACCTAGGCGATGAAGATGGTCATAGTTATCGGTGTAGATGCTAGCGTCGAGGGGTCGTTCCAGGAGGTCGTTTTAGGGGGGAGGGGGGTCGTTCGTTATATAAGCTGGTTATACCTCCCAAGCCATTATGGTCGTCCTTTGCTCACACCAGTCTAAGAGAACCGCTTTACTATACATGAATGTGTATATGCATATACATATATATATACATATGTATATCGTTTACGTTAGTACATATACACACAAAGTTCCTGCTCTTGTCAAGAGCGAAAGTTCACATTACACTAATATTTTCTATTCCTTGTTAGTTCGAACGATAATAACAGCAATAATAATGTCCACAAGGCATTTTTCTTGTACGTTTCAGAGGACACCATAATTTTTCACTATGCAGCGTTTCATTCTTAATGTTTGCCTCATTTTCTGGAGGCCTTGTATGTGTGCCTCTTCAGTCCGGACTCTTCACTAACTAGGGCACAAACTGTAGAGAAACAATATTGGAATTTACGTAAGAATGAGTTAAGATAATTAAATATATATGTGTGTGAACGGGCTTGAATGGTACCCAAGCCAATATGCAACTGAAAACTCCACACCCCTAAAAGGACTCGAACCCAGACAGCCAGGAGCAACAAGTTAATCCCGATGCCAGGGACCACACTTGAGTCCAGGGGCCCTATAGCTTCCCCTTGATCAACTACTGGGGCCCCCCTGCGGGATGTAACTCACAATAGTTGGATAACTCCCGAGTACCAATGAAGGAATGGTGTCTAAGCACTTAGATCGTCGGGGATCGAACGCCGACCGTGCAAGAAGCCAGGAAGTGGGTGTACCGGCCATTCCCAAGAGGAAGGACTAGGCAAGAAGAGAGTAATGGAGGACACTAAGATGGATGAGAGAAGACGGGTGGTTGTGGCTGTCAGCGGCTCTTAGTTTAAGTATATAACAAGTGTACACATCCGCTTCTTTTATCAGGAAGGGGTGAGAGAGAGAGAGAGAGAGAGAGAGAGAGAGAGAGAGAGAGAGAGAGAGAGAGAGAGAGAGAGAGAGAGAGAGAGAGAGAGAGAGAGAGAGAGAGAGAGAGAGAGAGAGAGAGTACGTGTGTACTCTCCTAGTTTGTGCTTGCGGGGGTTGAGCTTTGGATCTTTGGTCCCGCCTCTCAACTGTCAATCAACTGGTGTACAGATTCCTGAGCCTACTGGGCTCTGTCATATCTACATTTGAAACTGTGCATGGAGTCAGCCTCCACCACATCACTGCCTAATGCATTCCACTTGTTAACTACTCTGACACTGAAAAAGTTCTAACGTTCCTGTGGCTCATGTGGGTACTCAGTTTCCACCTGTGTCCCCTTGTT